ATTACAGGTATGCACCACCACACCTGGCTAACTTTGTATTTTTAGTAGACATGGCGTTTCTCCAGGTTGGCCAGGCTGGTCTCGAACTCCTGCACCTCAGGTGATCTGCCTGCCTCGGCCTCCCAGAGTGCTGGGATTACAGACAAGAGCTACGGTGCCCTAGCCATCATCTCCGATTTCTTACGGCAATGTTTTATGATTCTCACTGTAGAGATCTTTCACCTCCATGGTTAGTTGTATTCCTAGGTATTTCGTTCTTCTTGTGGCTGTTACGAATGGGGGTGCAGAATGGATTTGGCTCTCAGCTTGGACATTGTTGGTGTATAGAAATGCCACTGAGGAATACCATTTAAGAATTGCCACCTAGTTTTTGACAGTGGTTGAACTAATTTACTCTCCCACCTGCAGGATATACATGTTCCTTTTTCTCCATAACCTTGGAGAGAAAAAATGCCACTTTTTGTACAATGCTTTTGTATCCTGAGACTTGATAATCAACTGAAATTATGTATCTGTTCTAGGAGCCTTTGGGCAGGGACTGAAGGGATTTCTAGGTATGGAATCATATTGTTACACTGTTTGTGAAAAGAGATATTTCACTTCCTCTCTCCTGGTTGGATGGCTTTTCTTTCTTTCTCTTGCCTGCTTGCTCTGGCCAGGACTTCTGGTACTGTGTTGAATAGGATGACAATCGACATCCTAGTCTTGTTCTGGTTCTCTGGGGAATGGTTCCAGCTTTTGCCCATTCACTATGATGGTGGCTGTGTGTTTGTTATAGATGGCTCTTACTATTTGGTGCTATGTTTCTTCAATGCCTAGTGTTTTGAGGATTTTTAACATGATAGATGCTGAATTTTATGGAAAGCCTTTCTGCATCCTTTGACATGACCATCTGGATTTTGCTTTTAGTTCTCTTTATGTGGAGAATCACATTTATTGATTTGCATATGCTGAACCAGCCTTGCAGGAATAAAGCTTCCTTGATCATGGTAGATTAACTTTTTGATGTGTTGCTGGATTTCGTTTCTCAGTATATCGTCGAGGTTTTTCTTTTCTGTTTTTGAGACAGAGTCTCAGTCTTGTCGTTAGACTGGAGTGCAGTGGCACAATCTCTGCTCACTGCAACCTCCACCTCCCAGGGTCAAGTAATTCTCCCTGCCTCGGCCTCCCGAGTAGATGGGACTACAGGTGTGCGCCACCACACCCAGCTAATTTTCTGGTGTTTTAGTAGAGATGGGGTTTCACCATTTTGGCCAGGATGGTCTTGATCTTCTGACCTCGTGATCCACCTGCGTTGGCCTCCCAAAGTGCTGGGATGACAGCTGTGAGCCAACCCGTCTGGCCTTTATTGAGATTTTATCATCGATGTTCATTAGGATAATGGCCTGAGATCTTCTTTCTTCATTGTATATTTGCCAGGTTTTGGTATCAGTATAATGTTGGCCTTGTAGAAGGAGTTAGGGAAGAGTTTCTTCTCACTGTTTGAACAGTTCCAGCAGAAATGATATCAACTCTTTTTTATACATCTGGTAAAATTCAGATGTGAACCCATTTAGCCCTGGGACTTTTTTTTTTTGGTTGATAAACGGTTACTGCCTTGATTTCAGAGCTCATTATTGGTCTTTTTTGGGATTCAATCTCTTTTTCATTGTGTCTTGGTAGGGTGCATATGTCCTAGGAATTTATTAAATTTTTCTCCATTTTATGTGCATACAGGTGTTCATAATATACTCTGATGTTGTTTGTATGTCTTTGGGGTTAGTGGCGATATCCCTTTTATTGTTTTTAATTGTATTTATTTGGATCCTCTCTCTTTTCTTTATTAGGTTAGTTAGTAGTCTATTTTATTAATTTTTTGAAAAACAAGCTCCTGGATTCCTTGATATTTTGAATGGTTTGTAACATCTCAATTTCAAAAGGAGACTGGACAGTTAAGGCAATTATAATCAAAAAGAACAAAAGTGGGGGCATCACATTACCCGACTTCAGATTATACTACAGTAACCAAAACAGCATGGTACTGGTACAAAAACAGACACATAGGTCAATAGAAAAGAATTCAGAGCCCAGAAATCAGGCTGCATACCTACAAACATCTGATCTTTGACAAAACTGATGAAACAAGCAATGGAGAAATTCTTTTCTATTCAATAGAGAGTGCTGGGATAAGTGGCTAGCCATATGCAGAAGATTCAAAGTGGACCCCTTCCTTACAGCATTTACAAAAATTAACTCAAGAGGGAATAAAGACTTAAATGTAAAACTCAAAACTGTAAAAATCCTGGAATACAATGTAGGCGATACCATTCTCAACATAGACAGAGGCAAAGATTTTATGATAAAAATACCAAAAGGAAAAATTGACAAATGGGATCTAATTAAACTAAAAACCTCGGTACAGCAAAAGAAACTATTAACAGAATAAACAGACAGCCTACAGAATAAGAGAAAATTTTTTGCAAACCACAGCTGACAAAAGTCTAATGTTCAGCATCTATAAGAAACATAAACAAATTTATAAGAAAAAACAAACATTATAAAGTGAAAAGAGGTCATGAACAGACACTTTTCAAGAGAAGACATACTTGTGGCCAACAAGCATAGGAGAAAAAGCCCAATGTCAGTGACCATTAGAGAAATGCAAATCAAAATCACAATGAGATGCTATCTCACACCAGTTAGAATGCCTATTACTAAAAAGTCAAAAAATAACAGATGCTGCAATATTTTAGAGAAAAAGGAATACCTATGTCCTGTTGGTGGGAGGATAAATTAGTTCAACCATTGATGAAAACTGTGTGACAATTTCTCAAAGACCTAAAAGCAGAACTACCATTCGACTTAGGAATCGTATTGCTGGGTATATACCCCACGGAATAGAAATCATTCTGTGGTAAAGACACATGCACGTGTATATTCATTACAGCACTATTCACAATAGGAAAGGTGAAATCAATCTAAATGCCTCTCAATGGTAGACTGAATAAAGAATATTTAGTATGTATATATTATGGAATAGTATGCAGTTAGGAAAAAGAATAATACTATGTCCTTTGCAAAAACCTAGATGGAGCTGAAGGTCTTTATCCTTAGCAAACTAACACAGAAACAGAAAACCAAACAGCACATGTTCTCAATTATAAGTGGGAGCTAAATGATGTGAAGACATATAGAAGAAAAACACACTCTAGTCCTTACTGGAGGGTAGAGACTGGAAGGAGGGAGAGGATCGGGAAAAATACCTACTAGCTACTAGGCTAGAAACTGTAGAAAATTAAGGTTGAGCTCCAAAACTGTTTTCCATGGTGTCGAGATGTAACTTTCCCATGTCATACTATGTGCTGTTTCCCATGTTTTCATACGGTGATGGATGGGGATGTTGCAAGCATTGGGAAAAGAAAACTGAGATGTCTTAATGTTTCTGTGTTTCAGCAATTGAATGTTTTTATTATTGATCTGTGTTTTTCTTTGTGTGCTTATTTGGTTAGTATTTCATATCACGTAGTGCTCTGTCTTCTCCAAAAAACATGTGTATTTATCTTAGGAAAGAAATGTAAAGTGTGGTAAATACGATGGGTTATGAAGGTGCAGTGACACTGACTCCATCCTACCTTCAGGGATAAGCCAACCCTGAATGTGAAAAGAGACGCTATTTTTATTGCATAGTACCACACAGGGCCAGAGCTTCCCAGAACCAGCTGGGGATTGTTACCTAGACCCAATGTTGTTTACTGTTAAATCTTGTGGCTTGAGACATCTTCTAATTGAATTTGATATTTTAGTGTACGTTACTATCTTTGACATACATCATTGAATAAAATGCAGGATATGTATTTTAATTTTTTTCATTTACCACTTCATTTCAAGTTATTCTACCAAGCTCATGAAATATTTCGCTAATTGTCATAAAAGTGAGGTTATGGCACGGGCGTTCTAAGATTTAATACATTGTTTCTAGGGGAGGTTGAAATACAGTAAACTGAATCTTAAATATTATAGAACTTTTAAAGAATTTGGCTTAGTTGGAGAAGGCTGTGGTATATTTAAGGATGTTATGTATTCTACATTACTCCTTAGGAAACAGATTTTCAGACCTGGTGTGCTGGCTCACGCCCATAATCCCAACACTTTGGGAGGCTGAGGCAGGAGGATTGCTTGAGGCCAGGAGTTTGAGACCAGCTCAGGCAACAGGGCGAGACCTGGGTTCTATGAAAAAATAATCAAATAGGGAACATGCTTTTGAGATACTAGAAACATTTGATTCTGTTACATACCACACTAAGACTAATTGAAGATACAAATAACTGATTCTGCAGATAACACAGACAAGTCAGAACACATTGATTTCTGATGTGACAGTCAGTGTTCGATGAAACTGTTTATAGAAAGTAAAGCCAAAGTGCCAAATTTTACGGAGATACCTTTTAATAACCCAACTGTTAGACGAATAAAGCTTTTTTAAAAACTCAAAGCAAATGTTACTAATCATTTGGAGTCTGGACGTCCCAGTTCACAGGGTTACTTCTAATATGTAGAGCACATGCAGCTTTCTGATCAATCGAGAGTGAGGGGACTGCCCCTGCCAGAGTTCAATTCAGCCCGAGGACCCCATGGCCGCCCAAGGTCTTGGTTCATGCTGTGGATACAATACGGAATTTATTCACTCAGTAAACATTCACTAGGGTTACAGTCATTTTAATATAATTCATCGTAAGGTGATGATCTCTAGGAACGTCATCACAGTGGAGCAACCTGAAAGCTCCCAGCAGCCAGCAATGAATGAAAGGTAGGGGCGGGGCTGCCAACAGGGTGGGGCCTGGTGAGCCACGTGCCTGGGCTCCCACATCACAATGTGGGTAGGGCGCCTCGTGGAGGAGACTGTGCCTGATTGGTTCCTGGGCACCAGGTTGGTAGGGCAACCTCCTTCAGTTGGTAGAAAACACTGGAAGGAGGAACTCCCTCTGCGCTGTCTTCTCCTGAAATCTCCGCTCTCAGGCTTGTTGTATCTAGACCCATTTTAAATCAAGCAGGTTCCCTTCAGACCAGTCATCTCAGGGGAGGCAGCTGAGGCGGGGAGTGAGCTGTCAGTGGGGTGCGGCCCCCTAGCCAGGGGCTGGCCCTGCCAGCGTGCCTGTGTTTCAAAGAGGTGAAGTGCTGAACTGTGCGGACCGGGAGGCAAGGGAAGGTCCAAGTTGCTGGAGCGCACCCAAGGTGCCCCATGGGGAACACGCTGAGTTGTTGTTTGTGCCCCAGAGGCAGAGGCAGACGCAGGCGAGGTCTGCGTAGGTGGCCTGAGGATCTGTCCTTCGGCTCTGACATCAATGGGGCGGTGGCAAGCAAAGGTCCAGGCCAACACAGAAGGAACAAGTCCAACACCGGTGCCAGACCCATTTGGTGCCCGTGCTGGCTGTGTGGGGCGGTGTCCGGCAGCTATGACCTCGACGAGGCAGTGTCGAGCACAAGTGCAGACCAAGACAGAGAGGAGCAGAGGCCGGGCAGAGAGATCACGGTGCTCCCCAATGCCAGACCCAAGCAGAGCCAGCACAGGGTGCACTGGGCAGAACCGATCTGCAGCCATAACATCAATGAGAGGGAGGTGGCGAAAGCGCCAGACCGTACTGCTGTGGAGCCTGCCCTGCGGGATTTGGGAGCCGGTGACGGCCATGACCTGCAGCACATCAGCGACCAGGAGATGCCCAAAGGTAAGGCAATGAATGATGCTGTTTGCCCTCAGGCACGCCTCTGGCTGACACTCATACCAGCTCTCATTCCTCCCCCGAACCCCCCGAGGTATCCACAGCCTCGGGCTCCTCCGTCCTGGCCCTAGCCAGCTTTCCCAGGCCCATGCACCAGGCAGGAGGACTGGCACTGCCTCGTGCCGGCCCCCACCCTTCATGCTTTTTCCCTGCTGCGTCTGGTGGTTTCTTTCTTCCTCCCTACCCCAATGCCCAGTTGTGGCCCCTTTCTCAGCCCCAGGCTGGATGAAAGCTAAGTTTTCCAAATAGAAAACGCATGCTACAGATTTCATTCCTGTAGAGCAAGTGTCTTACAGCTCTTCTGTTTACTTTGGTTGGTCTCTTAATTTATTTAAACGTTAGAATAATTAAGTTTCATGATGAATGTGACTTTGTAGCTGAAAGATATCGTTCTCTCAGAATATTAAAAAAAATGGTGAAAGAATGAACAAAGATAGTATATGAATGAATTCTGCCTTTATACACAAAGCATGAAAGGACTTTTGAAAGTCCTTGTTTGGTGGCGTAAAGTAAGCCTCTGAGTGCTTTCACACACCAGGTAGAAGATGGGTAGTGTTTGATGACAGCCCAAAATAGACTCTTCATTTCATTTTTGAGGATTTATTACACATTTACAAGTATGTCTCATTTGACCCTGTCTCCACAAAAAAATGGTTAAAAAATAGCCGGGTATGGTGGCTTACACCCACAGTCCCAGCTGCAAGAGAATCTCTGGAGCCCGGGAGTTTGAGCCTTCAGTGAGTTATGCTAGCTCCATCTCACCATTGCACCACTCCAGCCTGGGCAGCAGAGTGAGACTTTGTCTGTTTAAAAAATTGTTTTTGCCCAAGACAGCTCTTTGTTTTAAGACATTTGAAATACTGAGCTGGTGTCTGACCACAGGAATTGACCACAGCATCTCTTCCTGCTTGAGACTTTCCCTGAAATGTGCTGGTAATAGCAGCCTAGAGGAAGGTGGTTATATTTGATAAGTAGAGGGAGGAGGGCATATATGTGATTCATCTGAACGTTGCATCCGTTTATTTAGGTGCAAGGTTGAAAAAGAAGTTCCAGCCCCAGCCCGGTTTTACTCCACATGCATGCAGAGATTCTGTGATTTTTGTATTCTCCAGTGGAATTGGGACATTGGTGCCTTTATTTTCTTGACATTTATTACTAAAAGCTTTTCTCAAGACTGTAAAAGTGATTAAAATGGCTATGTCGCTTTAAAAAGAATCTTTTGTACTCACCTCACTTAGGACAGTGTTTCCTCTTCTTCCTCTACAGGTCTTGCTTCTGACCGTCCAAGGGCAAGCACACTCTTCCTGAGAAAGTATCAAATGAGTGGTAAGACAATATTATTTCTGCTTTCAAGGAAAACCTAAACATTTTCTGTCTTGTATATTACAGAGAGTATTTAGAGAAACTCAGATATTAGTTAAAAATGTTCAACTTTTCATAGATTTACTTATTTTCACATGTGATATAATTTCCTTTAGTTGTCACTGTTTTGGAAACATACAGACTTTGTGTTTACACATTTGGTGACATTTTCACCAACACAATTAATTGGCCACATGATTTAGTGTAGTAGTCACGGATTTATGCCTTTTTCTTCATACGTCTTTGACATTTTTCCCTTGCTCTAAAGAGTATGTTTTAATAATGACTGATAGGATTTAGGCCACAGCTTGGATTTCACTGCAGCAAATCAAAAGAATCCATTGTTCTAGATTGGATCTGTGATGTTGGCCTCCTTTTTCACAGTGCTCTAACCACAGTCACATCCAAGTGGATGCTACAACTTTTTCATTGCAATGTAATAGAAACGTAACATGCCCTGTGCTGTTTTCCATATTAGCCTTAGTGTGTGAAACTAGTGTAAAGTTTCCATATCCTGCCTGTTTTAGGATGAGAATTAGAACTGTAGGATTTTTCTGTACTGTTGCTTATGTTTCATAATGTTCTGTTATCTTACTCTATTTTCAAAAAAGCCATACACCTTGTTTTTCAGTTAATTTTAACAACAAGAATACAAGAACTCAGGGTTCTAGAATAACATCTGAAGTAATGCAGCACAATAAAAAGGGGTCATTCAACTGCATTTTCATAGTTTGTGTGGACATTGTCTGACTTGAGCTAGCAATTTCTGGTTAGGATTGTTAAATTTCTCAGTTTCTTCCAAGAGCCATGGGCTTCTCACACATACAATGTACGGAAGTAGAAGAAAACCAATCCCCTGCCCCTGTCACTTCAGTGGTGAGAAATGAGTGTCAATGAGACCAGTTCAACTTCAAAGGAGGAGATATTGTAGGGAAGAAAGTGTGGCCCAAGTCCCTCTTTGAAGCCTTTATTCTTTGGACATTGGTAGAACAAAATGATTGTGTGTGCTGAGGATACCCTGTTCAGTGAGGTTGGCACACTCATTTTGACATTTAAGTTTAAGATAGGCTATCTTTCATTTGAGTAAAGACCCATTTATTTTTTCAGTAATGTATGACTAGATGACCGAGAAGTCATTTGGGATGCTGCCAGATATTCTAGTGCATCTCGCGATTAACTCCTGGCCCGAAACTGGTTCTTAGAGCTGTCACCTATTAGATCCTGGTAATGAAAGTAAGCTATATGTAAATGTAGAATGAGAAAAGAAAACACTGCTGCATAGGGGTTCAGTAACACAATAGGTAAACGTTTTTATTAGCTAAATTTCTCATCTGTCCCACATTTTGGCATTTTTATGAAGGAATACTTGAGACGGGATAATTTTTTTTTTTTTTTTTTTAAGACGGAGTTTTGCTCTTGTTACCTAGGCTGCAGTTCAATGGCGCGATCTCGGCTCACCGCAACCTCAGCATCCTGGGTTCAGGCAATTCTCCTGCCTCAGCCTCCTGAGTAGCTGGGATTACGGGCACGCACCACCATGCCCAGCTGATTTTTTTCTATTTTTAGTAGAGATGGGGTTTCACCATGTTGACCAGGATGGTCTCGATCTATTGACCTTGTGATCCACCCGCCTCGGCCTCCCAAAGTGCTGGGATTACAGGCTTGAGCCACCGCTCCCGGCCGAGACGGATAATTTATAAAGAAAAGAGGCTTTATTGGCTCACGGTTCTACAGGCTGTACAGGAAGTGTGGTGCTAGCATGTGCTTCTAGAAAGGGCCTCAAGAATCTACTGATCTTGGTTGAAGGTGAAGTCATCTTTCACATGATGAGGGAAGGAGCAAGAGAGAGTGAGAGGTGCTGCAGGCTTTTATATCAGCAGATCAGGCCAGGTGCAGTGGTTCACACTTGCAATCCCAGCACTTTGGGATGCTAAGATGGGCAGATCACTTGAGCCTGGAGTTTGAAACCACCTTGGGCCATCATAGCGAGACCCTGTGTCTATGAAACATTTAAAAATTAGCCAGATGTGGTGGTGAATGCCTGCACCCCCAGCTACTCTGGAGGGGAAGGTGGGAGGATCACTTGAGCCCAGGAGGTCAAGGCAGCAGTGAACCATAATCACGCCACTGTACTCCAGCCTGAGCATCAGAGTGAGACCCTGTCTCAGAACAACAACAGTAACAACAACAAAACCCCAAGAAGATCCTCCATGAACTCAGAGCAGGCCCTCACTAATCACCAGGAGGATGGCACTAACGCATTCATGAGGGATCTGCCCCCGTGATCCAAAGACTTCCTCACCTACAACCCTGGGGATTACATTTCAATGTCAGATGTTCCAAGGTAATCACACACATTCCCTAATTTGTTTTGCCTTTCCTTATGTAAATGGGGATTCTTTCATTTGAATGTAATAGAATATGTGTTAGGTCAAAAAGCAAAACTGTGTTTTTAAATTTTACAGTAAGAGATTCATCATGCCAAATTATTTAAATGTTTAATTTTGCTTAAATTAAAAATTTTTAATTGATTTTTTATATAGCGATAATCAGATTTATCCTGTTTTATATAGTGATGATGAGATAATTAGCAACTACTTTTATTCTATGGTATTTTATTATACCAGAATTGATTAGTTATATTTTTACTTTTAGTGCAAGAAAAGAGGAGAAGCTTTCGCATATATTCTGTAATTAAACTTTCGAAAAGTTAAGAAATTAATTGTTTAAATTAAAAATCGATCTTTCATGATTCCTGAGAAATGAAACAGGGACCCAGTGCTGTTAGCATGATCCTTTTTTGGTGAATTTTCTAACTCTTTTCTATTTTCCTAAGTGTCAGATTTATGCAGGAAAGTCTTTAACTTACTGTGCCCATTTTTAAGGCTGTCTGATTTTTAAGTTAAATTTAAATTGGTTGTGATATTGCCTGGGCAGTGCAAGCATGGCTGCTGGTTTTCTGGAAGCAGGGTTGGGAAGCAAGGTGGAGTTTCACTTTGTGTGTGCCATTTGCTCCCATTTCCCAGGTTTCAGCCCTGGTGTGTGTGAGCTCAGAAACCTTAAGGTGTAATATATCCTTTCTAAAGTCACAAAACTAACAGCTCCAGGTGCAATCGTAGCATTGGTAAGCTATTTCTTATTTATAAAGCATCTTTAATAACTGGTCTCCTACACAGCGTATGGCCGTGTTTCTAAATAAAAGTTCCTAAAGTTATCATCAGATCTTTTAAGAGAAACCTATGCAAACAAAGCAAATACACATATTAGAGTTTAATCATCGTCATGTTTTAAAATGATGCCATTGCTTTTCTTATCATAGAATAATTGCTACTGAAAGCAGCAGGAGAGACTTCTGGTTTCTCCCTCAACAGATTCCAATGTAGGTCTAAGCTGAGTTCCAGGCTGTATTTCCCCACAGTTCTGACCTGGAGCTGCTGCTCTGAATGCTTTGTTGTTCCTGTTGACCTCTTGTGCCTGTTCGGGAAATTGCCCAGGAATGTGGAACTACTAAGACTTGGACGTGGGCTTTGCTAGTTAGCCTGCCAAGCCATAGCTGTGTCCTTACCTCTACATGGTTCTCCCAGAATTCCTGTGGTGAGACTCATTCAGAATATAAAGTCCTGTTCAGGTGGCTGGGATTGTTTGACCCTCCCCACACTAACCATGTTGTAGAGGAATGTCAACTACATGGCGTGGAGAGAAAGGATACTTAGAGCAGTACTTTCTCCTTCAGCATCCAGCTATAGCTTAGGGGTGAAGGCCTCTGCTGGGCACGTGTATAGAAACCTCTCCATGAGTACTGGATCAGATGCAGGCCATTTCATGGAGCTGCAGCCATTGGGAATGCCCAGCACATGCTGGGAGGAAGCAGGAGTGGTACTTCCAGATGGAGAGAGAGAGAGCTGAGGCAGGAGGGAAAGCTGGATTGGAAGAAGGGGGACTTCACTGTATACAGGCTAAATTTGGTGTGCCTGTGAGATAGCAGAGTGACGTGTGCAGTCATTATTTGAATCTATGGAACTGGAACGTGAATCTGAGCTGTGCAGTCATCATTTGGATGTATGGGACTGGAGCATGAATCTGAGCTGGAAGTTAGGAATGAAGAGTAAGAGTAGCTGCTCAAGGCGAGGCACAATGGCTTACACCTGTAATCCCAGCTCTTTGGGAGACCAAGTCAGCTGATCACCTGAGGTCAGGAGTTTGAGGTCAGCCTGGCCAACACTGTGAAACCCTGTCTCTTCTAAAAAATACAAAAAATTACCTGGGCATGGTGGTGGACACCTGTAATCCCAGCTACTTGGGAGGCTAAGGTAGGAGAATCTTTGGAACCTGGGAGGCAGAGCTTGCAGTGAGCCAAGATTGCACGACTGCCCTCCACCCTACACAACAACAGCAACACTCTGGGGAGAAAAAGAGAAAAAGAGTAGATGCTCAAATGCAAAGAAACTGTTTAGAATGAAAGTGGACAAGCCGGACATGATGGGACACACCTATAGTCACAGCTACTCAGGAAAAGGGAAAAAAGAGAAGATGGACAAAA